TACGCTGCCATCCGAATCTGGCGCATACCTCAGGCCAACGATGTGGGCGTGGCGCCATCCGAGGTGGTCGAGCAGCTGCAGCGCGTCGGTCGCGAGCATCGACGTAGTGTACAGCCCCGCGGGGTGGTCCGTGCCGCCAACGCCGCGGTTGTCAAACGTCACACACTGATAGCGGCGCGCCGACGGCGAGCTCGGGTCAAGGAGCGTCGCGATCACCGGCAGCCATGCTTCCTTCTCGGCCATGAGGCCCATGATGAGAAGGACCTTCTCGGGCGCGTCGTCGGCGCCGTGGACCGCGTACTCGACCTTGAGACCGTTCTGCAGCGTTGCATGGCGCACGTCTGCGTACATGGCGATCGTCGCCGCCGGGCGGAAGAGCTCGACGTCCGTGAGCATGATCGGATTGCGCTATGCGGCAGATAACCAAACGCGCCATCTTGGGAAGGTGCACTGTCGTACCCCGGGGCACATCAACTAAACACACGCGACTTAAGTCGCAACGAGCCATCTCACAGTACCGAAGCGCGCCATACTACGCGCAGCGAGATGTCCATGATGTTTCTATTGCCCCGACAGACATACCTATGAGCGTGGACAGCTGGTGTTACCACAATGGTGGATGTTCAGGACGCACCCCAACGGAGGCAAATCGCAGGGGAGAAATTCGGTGCTGTACGAGGAAGGACGCTGCTTGGACCACGAAGGAAGGAGAGATGATGACGGCTACCGACATTCACGGCGCGTGATGACTAGTGCCGTCAACCAGCGCACGCCGTTGTGCTCGGGGAGATAACCCTACCCGCGATTACAGCAGCAATTTAGGGGGGTCTGGGCGAGTGTTATTGCATCCGCCAAAGGGCGTGGTGCCAAGAACGGGTACAAAAGTAGCCCTCACTTTGCCGCAGAGTGCTAAGACTATCACTGATGCCTCCAGAGTACACCTTTCGATTGCATTGGTTGGTCGTGAAATATATATAAGCCCATAAAATCCTATTGTATGCATTGCCGTCGATGTGTCGATCCACTGCACAAAGCGCCAGGTCGATTGCGAGCGCGGGTGCAGTGGTATTGCACTTGACGCGAGATGCAATTGCCGCCGTTGATCCGTTCAGGTCGGAGCCAACGTCGAGCGCGATACCAAGGGAGGGAGCTCACAACTGTTGTTTCAATTAGTATGGACTTCCTCACCAATAGAGGACCATAATGCACGCTTCGTTGAGAGTCTTAAAATACCCGACACCTTCATGCCGGTCAAGCAGGTCAAGGTCGGCGCCCGCCAAGTGCAAGAGATGACCGTGTACGTGAGCACGTGCCAAGCGTCACAGACGGACAAGTTTACGACGCGCGTCTCCAAGCTAGCGACCATCGAGACGCTCCAGGCCTTCCTCGTCGAGCAGTGGCGCATCGCCAAGCACCGACTCGCTACCGTTCCGATCTCGGAGCACATTTTCAGCTTCCAGGGACGCATCATGCGTCACGACGCCCACCTCGACATTTACTGTACGACACGAGTCCACACGGTACTAGACAATAATGATATTTCCTTGCAGACGTTGGGAACGGCGACACGATCTTTCTGCGTCTGCCGGGCCATGGCCCCGTGACGACACCGTGGGCCATGTCCACCAGCGAACTTCGGGAAGCGCTTCAAGACCGCCGCGCGTACCGTCCGAATCTGCTGCCCGAGCAGCTCGTACGCCATCGCTTCGTTCTGGCATGAAAACGAATCCTGGTGGATATTAGATGTACCAGCTCCAACATCTTTTGCAGCGCGAGAGTCGACTGGAGCGGCTTCAAAAAGCCACAAAGCGTGGCGCCACCGAGGACGTCAAGCGCATCACGCAAGAGCTGCGCGAGCTCGACGCGGAAGAAGCGGCGTCCGCGGTCGCGGCGAGCGCGGCGCCGCTATCGCGCCCAGCGTCAATCAAGTGGCCGCATCCGCCGAGTCTCCGGCGCACAGTCTTCTTCTCGCTGGCATGCCTCGAGCGCAGCTACCAGTCGATTCCGCGGGACGTGTTTGAGCCCGGCCTCTTCCTGCTGGACGCGCGCCGCGACTGGGTCTTTGGAAAGCACAGCAGCCTCCAGAAAGAGCATTTTGACTACAAGTACATGGCGTACGGAAAAGACTTTTTGGACATGCTCGTCTTCAAGGAAGAGGCCAACCTCGTCTTTTGGTTCCAAGTAGTGTCCATCGACGACACGAAACGACGACGACTAACTAACTAAACGTATGTGGTAGCCCGACCACAGCCTCGCAGCGCTCTCGGCGTTTGTTGCCAACCTCGTC